AAGGGGTATAAGGCCCAGAGCCTCGCGGGAGGTGGGGAAACAGTGATGTGGAGGCTTGACTTAACCAGCTTCTCCTCAGGAGACGCTCCTGGCTTCCCGGAGTCAGGAATCCTTTCCTCCTCTGAACCAGTTTCCATGGCCCATTCAGCGGGCCGTTAGTCATATGCTGCCGCCTTGTGACATGTCTTCTGTTCTTGTCTTGATATTTAAATCTTGACTTTTTTATTGAACTTTTCAACTGTTAGGCTGTCTTATCACCCAAGGGATTATACACTGCGTGAGAGCAGACACACCTGGTATTTCTTCACGACCACAGGAGACTCAGGACAGTGCACAATGCTGGCACTGAATACGTATTGTTGATTTGCTTTGCTTTTCAGCGTTTTCAATATTTTAATCACAAAAATTGAACATCCCTTTCCCAAAGGACTGTTAACAACTGAATGAGGGGGTGTGTGGTGTGAGCTGAGTGGGTGAGCATGAGGAGGAGGAGGAGGCAATGGGCGGTCCACCCTATAGCACACCACCTGCTTCTTCTGTCCTATGTTTTAGTGGGAACATTATGCACCCAGGGACAGAAGCAAGCTATTCATGTCAGTTCCCTTCAGCCCTTAATGTGAGTATGGGTTTCACATAACTGTATACATGGGAGGAGCCTTACCCACAATGACACTAGATAAGAAGGCATGATGAGTGCGCTGGTTTAGTGCCTTTAACACTTCCTTCCCTCCTTCGGTCACCTCTAATCCTCAATGGCTCCTCTCTTCCTCCATCCCCTAAAAATCACATTTTCTTCTAAATTCACACCCACAGCCCTTCCGGTTTTATCACTTTGCTTCCTTCCTCCCCCCCCATTTATTCTACTCGCTCTCCTTGCTCTTGATGTGCTAGTTCGTTTATAATACATTATAAATATATTATAGTACATTCCTGATGTACTAGTTCGTTTATAATATATACATTATAAATATATATATTATAGTACATCCCTGATGTACTAGTTCATCACACGAGTCAAAAAAAAATAATCCAATCGAATACTGGAGTGGTTAACTGAGGCCAAGGCTGAAAAGCCATTGCATGTGCCTCTAGGATAACTCCGGTCAGACCAGGGTCACAGTGGCTGCAGGGACATAACCAGGGGCACAAGCCAGTCTGTGGGAGAGGATGAATGGGAGTCAGGACGGTGAAGAACAAGTGTGAAACTAATGCAAACAGACCTCATTTAACTCGTTATTTCAAGGTGAGGTGCTTGCCAGGCACTGGGGATATAGAGATGACTCTGTTCCCTCCCGCAGGCCCTCAGAATTCGGGGGCAGACAGAGCCCCAGCCTTTTGGGATCTCAGCAGCCAGACTGACAGGGGACAGGCACAGAGGACATGGGAGTGCAGTCTACTGTCAGGGGGTGGCAGAATGTTTGAGCTGGCAGGTACGGCTGACGGGCGCTCAGGCCTCAACAGGCACTGGCTGAGGACACTGGGCAGGAATAGTTAGTACAAACAAAAAAAAACAAAGTCCTTCTGTCTAGGGCATCGGTTCTCAACCTGTGGGTCATGACCCCTTTGGCAGTCGAACGACCCTTTCACAGGAGTCGCCTAAGACCATCCTGCATATCAGATATTTACATGACGATTCATAACAGTAGCAACATGATAGTTATGAAGTAGCAACGAAAGTAACTTTATGGTTGGGTCACAACATGAGGAACTGTATTTAAAGGGCCTGAGGGTTGAGAACCACTGGTCTAGGGGCTCACAAAGCAGAATCGCACGAACAGGTGAGCGGGGAGCACCCTGAGTACAGCCGCTAAGAGGAAAGGGTTCTGGAAGGGAGGAGTGTTCATCAAACAGGATCTTTATGAATGAGCAAGGCGTTTTCCATGGTAGTCAGTGACAAAGCAGTTCACTGTAGGTTAGTAAGGGACAGAGCAGCCCTGTGGCAGGAGATGAGAGCAGGCTGAAGGTTTGGAAATTTCAATTCTATCCTTCCTTTGAGGTGGGGGCAGGGACAGACCTCACTGTTACAAGCAGGTGGTTTCATTAGCACACTGAGGCCCTCAATGACCACTACCCACTGGAAGAGGAACCTGTCACTCCAGAGCCCTGGGCCAGCTTCCCCTTCACTGACAGCCCCACCACATGGCTTATCATGTGGTTCAAAGTCCCATCAAAAAGTACGTGTAGAGAATCATTAACTTCCACAGGCATTTGGAAATGGAATAGCTCCGAGGATGTCCCACGCCTGCCCACATCCACATGGGCATTCTCTTTGCCTGGGCTGTCCGGAGCCACACGGACAACTAGCGTCAGTCCCTATGGCGAGGGAACCCACCTGATTTGCTATCCGTCCGGGGGTCCATGATGACAAACTCTGGCCGCAGCTTGCTGATACGCCGCCCCTTGAGGATGGGTACGAGCCCGCCCAGGTACTCCAGGTAGAGTGTGTAGCATGGGCCTCCCACCTCTGGGTCATCCTCCGTGCGCTTCATGGTGCAGTGCAGGCGCTCGTTGCCGGCCGAGGGGTAGCTGACAAAGTCTCGCATGTTGTTAGGGTCTGGAATGGGGGGCTGAAGGCAGTAGAGAAAAAAGGGAGAGTGTGGCTCACTGGTGACTCTGACAGAACACTGCCTGGTGGCCCGATTGGGGTTAACTACATGGTATGGAATGGTGATTAGTAACTCTGGGTGGACATCAGAATCTGCTGGGAGCTTTTAAAAAAACACATCTGAGCCAGGATCCCACCTCAGACAATGAAACTTCAATCTCTAGGGGGTGGGCCTGGGCATGTATATTGTCTAAAAACTCCCCAGGTAATTCTAATATGCAGCCAGGTTGAAAGAAAAAAAAAATAGTAACAGATTCTAAAACTCTTGTGTTTCATGAAAAACGTAACCCACAAGTCAATCTAATACTTAGAAGCAGAGACAGAATACAAAAAAGAGAATACAGAAAAAAACCCAAGGTTAGGGGGCAACTCAGACCTGAGCAGCACCTGGCGGACACAGTCCACACACTCCAGCTGAAAACAGAGCAGCTTTCGGGTTACAGTCAGTACAGACGTCGGGCAGCGAGTGCCGGGCGGGTGGCTCCTCCTCAGCACAGTGTGAGGATGGCAGGCCCTACGCCCCGACTGGCTCCATCTCGGCCATTCCCGTCAGAAGCTATGGAGGAAGTTACCTAACTTTTAGGAACATGTTTCCTGCTTTCTCAGGTGGGAATAATGGCAGCATCTGCCAGGAAGTCATGAATGAATAAGGCAGCTGATCATCAGGATGACATCGAGCTCGGAGTCCTGCCTTTGCCATGAGAAAGCTGATGTCCATCACACAAGGCCAATCTCTGGTGGACACACTAAAGGTGATGCACGTATGGAAGGACGTGCGGACGCTGCAGAGCCACCCCCCCACCCCAGACCTGTCGGGGCAGACCTCACTTCTGTGCTGCTGCTCTGGGACTCTCGGCCTCTTCCCTGTCTCTGCCCTCCTCTCTGCAGGGGTGAGGAGGAGGGGGGAAGTAAGGGGGAGGGAGGGAGGAGGGCTCTACCTTGATGGTGGGGATGAAGGCAGTGGAGAGGTAGGAGCAGAGGCGAGGGGGCAGGGTCAGCTTGCTGACATCCTTGTCTTCTCGCAGGGCACTGGCGATGGCCTGCTGGCACAGCAGCTGCAGGCTAGACACCCGGTGCTCCACACGCACCACGTACAGGGCTGGTCCCGAAGCCATCAGCAGCCTAGAGTCCCGGTGGCCCCAGCAGATGGAGATGATGGGGCGCTGCCAGGAAGTGAAAGGCAACTGCATGTAAGCTTTCACTCTTGTAAGCAAAGAAAGATCATGCATGCCTGTCTCAAGCAAAATAAAGGGGCTTAATAGTTTTTGAGAGTATTTGTTTTAAAAAGTACAACAGAGAATCCTCAATACTGTATTATGAAAATTCAGGACTTTCACTGAAAAGTAGTTAGATCCTCAGGCCAGAGTATAGATAGAGTACTGGAATCGTTTTACGAAGTTCCTGTTCATATATTACCTCATTTAATTTAGTGCCATAAAACCTAATGTAGCGACATTTCTACCAGAAGATGCAACAGGATTGGGGTACAGCAATCCATACTCCTTCCTTAAGCTCTGATTATCTGGACCTGCAAATAACTGGTGGTCCAGTTCCCATGGCTTGGGCAGGTGGAGAGCAGGTGGACCAGAGGGCCCTTCCCTTTTGTCCTGACAGACAAATCGACACTGGATTTGGGGCAGGAGCTATGTGACCTGGAGGCTATCACAGAACCCCTGCAAGTCTACTCTCTCGTGAGTCTGTGGGAGCTACCCACAGTGAGCATTAAAGGACATGGAAGATGCCGAAATGCTCCCGGGACCACACGTTAAGTCACTGCTATTCTCAGCCATCCTCAAGCTGATGGGTCTGAGAGAAAGTAGAGAGCTAGCTGGAGGGGGGAGCGGGGGGACACACAGGTCCTGTGGTGGCCTCTTAGGGGTTGGTGGCCATCACTTGCTTTGAAAAGGCAGGCTAATATCCAAATGTGCAAGTAGAAACTGCTTGTACTGAAAAAACTCAGAGCTCAGGGGTGCTGGCTAAGTAAGATTAGCCAAGGAAGAAAGCAAGAGGCAAAGGGCTATGATGGAGAAGCAGTGAGGGAATATGTTCATTCCGATCCAGGCCGATGGAACTCTAATTTAATGAGGTCTTGAGGGGTCTCAAAGATGAGAAGTGGGGATACCAGATCTTTAATATGAATGACATCGGAACAGAATTTTCACAACACTTCAGCGACAACATCAAGATAAAAGGAGCACATGAAGACACTTGCTTAAAATAGCCCCCAGGGTCAGCTAATCCTGGTTTCAACTTCAAAACAAACTGTGGGCTGAAGATAATTCAGCTTTCATTTCCATCACAGAGAGGCCAGCTGCAGCATGGAGGAGGACCAGGGAGCCTGGAACTCAAGTTTGGGGCTTCTAGAAACTTCCAAGATGGGCCTCCTTACAAGAGGAACCCCACACAGGGAGGGAAGACCCCATAGAAGGGCCTATTACTCACTGCTGAAGACAGTGTAGACGACACATAAAAATACACAAACAATTTTCTTTGGTATCATCAGTTCCCCATAAGTACAGGTCAGGACAGAAGTTCTGTTAGTACCAAAATTGTGATTAATCTTAAAGACATACCACCGCCCCCAAGTGTCTGTATCTCCCTCTCATTGCCGTGCTGAGCCATTTAAAAGGTATGCAGGTTTGTCACGCTGCCACAACACAATGGAACAGTGAGGTCAAGGGCCAGCTTCAACCCGAGGGCATCGAAGACACACCAAGTATCTCCAAACCCTCCCTCCTGCCCCTATAGGAGAGGCCATGCATTTGTCCAGCCATTTATTCAGATACTGAGCTGCCAGGAAGTTTTTCAGTAAAGACCTGTTAGTTGTGTACAATGGGCCAGACAGACTCTAGGTATGAGAGTAAGATAAAACCCCAGCCCTAGAGGCACTGAGGTGGGAGGGGAGAGAAATAACTTAGTATCTGCTGGGACAATTCGGTAAGGTCCGGTGGTGAAAGTGCTGTGCAGTAAAACTAGACGGGATCAGGGCAGGACAAAGAGCAGGGGTGGTTTCAGCAGAGGCCCGACCGAGATGAGGGGACTTACTGATCTGTTTTCTAATTGGAATGAAAGCTTCCTCACTATATTACTTTTTTATATACAGTAGTGAGTTGGATGAAGTCTTCTAAAAAGGTAAGAGAAATACAAATCCTTTCCATATTAAAGCTAAGCTGATCAAGCTGGATTAAAGTTGACAACAAAAAGAGTTAGAGAGAGAGAAAACTGGCTCAAGAGCAAATGCACTTCAAATGTCTATCAGCCCCAGCAGAAGGGGCCATTTAAAGTTTGTACAAGAATGTGCACAAAAGGAAAGCTATCTAGAATAGCTCACCTTCAAAAAGGCTACGCTGATGACTGGTCACCAATGAACTACGTTGGCTGGAGCCGTGGACAGTTCTGAATATTAAGTTACGATGATTTGGCACCAACTAAGTTAAATAAAAGCTAGCTCAGGATTCAGTCACCCCAATCTCAGCTTTAAAAGAATACACCATTTTGTGTTATGTAAGCAGATGACCGGGAGGGACTTTCTCATCTATTCACAACAAAAAGGAAAAGCACATCTATGCAGCTTCATGAGGACAGACAGAGCTAATCCTCAACAAAAGGAGGCAAGTCCACTTTTGCTAAAGGATTCTGCTTCAAGAGTGTACAAGTCTATGAGCACAAACACAATCTCTCATTTGATTTTTCAGTTCCCACACCCACCTTCTTCTTTTCCTTCTCTCTTAATTTTTACATTAATGATCGAACCTTATAGAACATAAGGTAACTCCTCCCACTGGCTTTTAATGCAAGGAAAAGTTCATAAAGCTAAAACAAAACAAAACAACTGACCAACTAACAACCCAGACCCAAATTACTGGAGCCAGCAAGCTTCAGTCCGTAGTGCTAACTCTGAAAACCTGTGCCAGATGATCAGCTATGCTATTATTTATAGATTGTCACAGGGAAGAGATAATGAGATCAATGACAGGATTTTAAATTACAACAGGTAGGAAGGGAAGGAAAATAAATTATAGTATATTTCCTTATAAGAGCTTCAGCCACAGGCATAGCTATTATGAGCAAATCAGGAGAATCAATTTTAAAGCTGAGGCTGCGCAAGTTTGTTCTTGGCAACAGCTTTGTGCGCAATAACCTACAATCTAATTAACTTGGAAATAAATTCTCCAATCTAAACGGCATTACGTTCTTTTTATAAACAGTTCAATAAATTGCCCAATTTCCTTCCTGCTATAAGAATGTCCCTGCCTGTGGACCCCATGAGTAGCATAGCACAGATAACATGCGATTTTAGAATCATCCCAGGCAAAGAGAAAGTTGGTACTATATAAAATTAATATTGTATTTGATTTTTAATAGCATATATTTAATTTTATATTATTGAGGCAATTTTTTCAATGGTTGAAACAAACCTTCAAATGAAAAAAGGAATCAATGCTTTATTAAAATGCTGAGACACTGTATAGATATTTTTCTCCAAAGAAAGATCAGCCAAGCCCCTCTCTTATCCCCAAACCCAGTTTAAATTCAAGACCCATGATACTTTCATGTCAGCGCTGATGAGAACTTTTGCAATGGTTAAGACCATCGAGTCTCTATTACATTCTAGGCACAGTGAAGATCACAAAATGAAGAAAGCACAGTGTTTACCTTCAGGAAAATAAAACAAGTAGACAGAAAAGTGCAATATATGCCAGCGGTATAAGGACCCCAAGGTTTCATAGAGAAGAAGGATCGAAATCGTTGTAGATTCACAGAAGAATGTGACTGGCCTGGCACTAAGGAGGGTGGATTCCCAAGCTGAGATGGCAGGGAAGAACATTCCCTGGAGAGGGGACAGAATGCTGCCCCGAAGGGTGTGCCCCGAGTCAGACAGAACAGTGGACATACTGTATGTACTTGGGTTCCAGCACTGCAATTCACAAACATTCTAATAAACACAACAGTCTGATTAACTCTGAAAGAGCTGAAAATTCCCATCCTCTCCTACCTGTTGTCCAGTTAGGCTACAGAGAGCAAACTGGTATGAGATGTGATTGAGAGGGCACACAGCCTACTGGCTCATACAACCAACAGAGAGAAATAAAGAAAGCATATGATGACAACTGTCCATCCAACAGTCCACTGAGTGAGTATTATTGAGCACCTCCTATGTGCCATGCAATACACTGGCAGAAGGGTCAAATTGTCAACAAGGTTAACTCTCCTTAATCCCAAATGTGCAGGGACTCTAGTACCTGTGTTCACTTTCTCACACACCCTGGCATCATAATAGTGGCCTCAGCTTGACTTCTCTTTAGCTCTTCCCTGGTTTGTTTGCTTCACTTCTAAAATAGGAGTAGGTATTTCTATCCAACCACAAGTCCCCATCCTATTTCCATCACTTCCTGTTGAACGTGCTTTATCATGACCTCATCCTTCCCAGTCCCAGGTCATAAGGCATCTACCTACCTACCCAGATTTCATAACATCCCCAGTAGTTCTGAAATCTTCTATATATTTTTTTGGTCTTCCTGCTGCATTATTCTTTCCAACTTCTAATTTTAGGCAACCTGTACCCCTTCTGCCCCTAGGGAAGGCATGGACAGCACTGACTCAATTTAAAATCATACCGTCTAGCTTTGGCTGGGACTTAATTTCAGCTTATTATCTTGACCAGCTCTTGTGTCATATTCCTGTATCCTAGCACTTAGAGCAGGGGTCCTCAAACTTTTTAAACAGGGGGCCAGTTCACTGTCCCTCAGACCGTTGGAGGGCCGGACTATAGTTTAAAAAAAAACCTATGAACAAATTCCTATGCACACTGCACATATCTTATTTTGAAGTAAAAAAACAAAATGGGAACAAATAGAATATTTGTATTAGCATGTGGCCCGCGGGCCGTAGTTTGAGGACCCGAAGTGGGATCACAGGGTCAAATGGGAGTTCCATTTGCCAGCCACACAGCAGCCCCTCAAAATATGTTTGCTGGGCAATTGAACAAATGAGTGAACAAATATGCATATTTGCCCACAGAAGATACTGCATTGTCAAAAGATATATTTAAATTCTGTAATTCAACAACAACAAAAACACACCAAATAATCCAACAAAAAAATTGGCAACCCTGGCTGGATAGCTCAGTTGGTTAGAGCACTGTACTGATATGCCAAGGTTGCAGGTTTGATCTCTGGTCAGGGCACATACAAGAAGCAACCATTTAATGCATAAATAAGTAGAACAATAAATCGATGTCTTTCTCTCTCCCTCTCCTTCTCCCTCCTACTCTCTATAATCAATCAATCAATCAATCAATCAAATAGTCCTGGTCAGTGTGGCTTAGTTGGTTGAGCATCGTCCTGTGCACTGAAGGGTCACCAGTTTGATTCTTGGTCAGGGCACATACCTAGGTTGTGGGTTTGATCCCTAGTCAGGGTGCATGCAGGAGGCAACCAATAGATGTTTCTCTCTCACATTGATGTTTCTCTCTCTCTCTCTCTCCCTCTCCCTTCCTCTCTCTATAGTGAATAAAAATATTTTTAAGTAAATAAAATAAAATTGGCAAGGATCTTGAAGAGTCATTTCTCCAAAGAAGCACAGAAGGCCAACCATTAAGCTGATGAAAATGCACATGAAAAGATGCTCAAGGTAACAATCAGGGAAATACAAATAAAAACCTCACACCCATTAAACACACACACACACACACACACCAGAAAATAAAAAGTGTTGGCAAGAATGTAGAGAAGATAGAACCTCTGGGCACTGTTGGTGTAATGTAAAATGGTGCAGCCACCATGAAAAATATTATGACAGTTCCTCCAAAATTAGAAATAAAACTACCATATGATCCAACAAGTGTCCTGGGTATTTATTCAAAAGAACTGAAAGCAGTGTTTCAAGACATATTTGTATATCCTTGTTCACAGCAGTATGAGACCTAAATAGCTAAAAGGTGGAAGGAACCCAAATGTCCACTGAAGGATGAATGTATAAAATGGTGTATATATACACTGAGTGGCCAGATTATTATGACCACCCCATCAGTACTTCGTTGGGCCACCTTTTGCCTTCACTACTGCGGCGATTCTTCTTGGCGTTGACTCCACGAGATGTTGAAAGGTGATACGAGGAATCTGACACCGTGCCTGATGAATGGCACTGTCCAGTTCTGTGAGATTTGATGGTTGTGGAACCAGATGCCTGATGGCTCTTTTAACTTGGTCCCACAAATGCTCAATTGGATTGAGGTCTGGTGATTGTGGGGGCCACCTAAGCAAGGTCAAGTCTCCCTCATGTTCTTGAATGCACTCCTGTACAATACGAGCACCGTGGCATGGCGCATTGTCTTGTTGGAAGAAGCCATCTCCATTGGGATACGCCATCAACGTGATCAAGGATGAACTTGATCAGCAACTATACTTAGGTATGTTGTGCTATTCAGACGTTGTTCCCATGAAATAAAGGGCAAGTA